CAAGCCTCCAAAAAACGGCCCATTCCCCCCCCCCCAAAAGGCATGACTAGCCTTTAGTGGGCTTGCCGAGTGCCCGGGGGGGGGGCAAAAACGGCCCATTTTTTCACGAAAACAGACCCATTTTTCATTTTAAAAATGGAGGCGTGGATAGCCTTTAGGAAGCTTATAGAGTGCTTCTGGGGGTTGGGAGGGGTAAAATTGAGCAAAAAACAGGGCATTTTTTGCTCATTTCTGTCCTCCCCAGCCCCCAGGAGCTCTCTGAAAGCTTCCTAGAGGCTATGCACGACCACTTTGGTGAAGGGGGTGGGGTTTCAGGAGACAAAAAATGCTGTATTCAGTGTATAAGACGCACCCAGATTTTCAGCCTCTTTTTTGAGGGAAAAAAGTGTGTCTTATACTCTGAAAAATATGGTATATTGTTTTAGCAAAATAATCTGACCTGACCTGTACTTGAATATTAGTAGCTCTGGTTGGTAGCTGGGCTGTTGATTTGAGCTCCGAGCTTGGCAATTAGGTTGCAAACATTTCGTCACCATTCAAGGAGACATCGTCAGTGCACTTTCAATTTAAACACCAACAGCTCATACATAATTTGAGCTTTTTTAGTATTTACACATAACACTACGAAGAGTATGATTTTTGAACAAGCCATGGTATTGTATTTTGCACATATCCCTAATGGATAGGTTTGAGTGCAATGCTAAATAAAAAACAAACATCAATATGTCTTAATTTTATGTATGAATCGAGCTATAGTCCTGGAAAAAAGAGCATTTGTTTATCCTACTCTTTCCATTTCTATGCAATCCCTAATATTTACCCAGAGGTGGTGCTGTTGGCAAGAACTTCTATTTTCTATTTGACCATTTATGTTACGCTAAAGTTCTTCTGAGGGCAAAGAGTATAATTAATCAATGACAATAAAAAACTAGGGACATGGTCAGGACTTGTCAAACATTTCACTATAAAGGCCAGACTACATTAACCTTCTGGGTCATTCTACTTAGCATCTTTGTTATCTCACTGGAACTGGCAGGTAGAGAATCAGGTTCCTGAAGTTCAGTGGATTTCCTCTTAATAGGTAGGAATATTATTTAGTATTTGTTGATTTCAGCAGTCCTTAAATATCTCAGCCTTCTGCAGAGTCTCATTTTAAATCAGGATCACCTGTGAATTTGACTTGTAGATTAAGACAGAGTTCTCTTGCATATAAATACAAGCATAAATTTTACTGTTATGACATAGACCGTGTTTACTAATAATGCCTTTCAAAAAGAACTAAACAAATTCACGATAAATAAGTGTTAGATATGATATTTAACTAAAAACTCAAGGTACAGTAATAAGTAGCTCTAAATTATAGTTGCTGATAGGCAAAGAATAAGAGAAACCCATTTTTTTCATATCCCCCTTGAGGCTGCCAGCTAATACTAAAAAGAAGATACAGTGTAGCAGATCCAGTAAGAAATCATTTGCTATTTAGTAGCCCAGTATATTTTACAGTCCAACGTGTTTTGGACAATTCCGAAGCAATGACACCATTGTTCGTAGCATATAAAATACAAACCTTGATATAGTTTTATTTGGGGGGGGGGGGATGGATACTTTAATTAGCATAGACATTTTACATTTGCTTGCTTTGCTTGTTGGAAATTCCAGACATGATTGAATAAAAATTCTAAAGTAAATCTCAATTATTCTGTCTACCAAAGAAACCAGGAATAGTTGGATTAATGCTGCAACAAACAGCTTTTACATTATTTGTTCTGTTTGGTCGGTGGTGGAACAAAATATTTTGTTCAATCACATATTTATCTTAGCCATGATTTAACTATGATTTACTGGTTAAATGGAAATATATTTATTAAATTTATATGCTTTCCCTCTCACTGATAAGGCAACTCTGGGAAGCTGAATAATTCACAGGCTAAGCCCTTAACAATGGATATCTGCATGATGTGTAGCTAAAAATGCTACTTTCAATGCAATTCACTGAAATTTTGCAAGGCAGAAAGAAAATTGCCACCTAAATATCCAATCAAAACAGAACAAGAAATCATTAGTAGCTAAGCCCCCCTGAGTTCTATTTGTAATGCAAGTGTTATAACAAGAAAAACTAACCTAGCACCCACATGTGGAACAAAGTTAATGTCTCAAAGAGTATTTCATGCCTTTTAGTAATTTGAGGTCTTTAAGAAACCATTTCAATTATTAGCTTCAGAAGTGGAATTGGCTTCTATCAGAGGAATACACATTTTTCATTTATGTTGTGTTACAACAAAAATTGTGTCACCACAAAACTGCTAGGCTCTTGGATAGAATTTGGATTATGCGACTTTTGTAATTTCCCTATTATAGAGATGAAACTCGAAAAATTAGAATACCGTGCAAAAGTTCATTTATTTCAGTAATGCAACTTAAAAGGTGAAACTAATATATGAGATAGACACATTACATGCAAAGCAAGACAGTTCAAGCTGTGATTTGTCATAATTGTGATGATTATGGCTTACAGCTCATGAAAACCCCAAATCCACCATCTCAGAAAATTAGAATATTACATGCAATCAATAAAACAAGAACAATACATAGAACAATATTGGACCTCTGAAAAGTATAGACATGCATATGTACTCAGTACTTGGTTTGGGCCCCTTTTGCAGCAATTACTGCCTCAATGCGGTATGGCATGGAAGCTATCAGCCTGTGGCACTGCTGAGGTGTTATGGAAGACCAGGATGCTTCAATAGCGGCCTTCAGTTCTTCTGCATTGTTTGGTCTCATGTCTCTCATCTTTCTCCTGGCAATACCCCATAGATTATGGTATTCAGGTCAGGAGAGTTTGCTGGCCAATCAAGAACAGTAATCCCATGGTCATTGAACCAGGTTTTGATGCTTTTGGCAGTGTGGGCAGGTGCCAAGTCCTGCTGGAAAATGAAGTCAGCATCCCCATAAAGCTTTTCTGCGGAAGGAAGCATGAAGTGCTGGTAGACGGCTGCATTGACCCTGGACTTAATAAAGCACAGTGAACCAACACCAGCAGATGACATGGCTCCCCAAATCAACAGAGACTGTGGAAACTTCATGCTGGACTTCAGTGTGTGCCTCTCCATTCTTCCTCCATACTCTGGGTCCTTGGTTTCCAAATGAGATGCAAAAGTTGCTCTCATCAGAAAAGAGGATTTTAGACCACTGAGCAACAGACCAGGTCTGTTTTTCTTTAGCCCAGGTAAGACGCTTCTGACATTGTTTGTTGTTCAGGAGCGGCTTGACAAGAGAAATACGACATTTGAAGCCCATCTCCAGGATCCATCTGTGTGTGGTGGCTCTTGATGCACTGACTCCAGCCTCAGTCCACTCCTTATGAAAGTCCCCAACGCTTTTGAATGGCCTTTTCCTGACAATCCTCTCCAGGCTGCGGTCATCCCTGCTGCTTGTGCACCTTTTTCTTCCACCTTTTTCCCTTCCACATAACTTTCTATTAATGTGCTTTGATACAGCACTTTGGGAACATCCAACTTCTTTTGCAATTACCTTTTGAGGCTTTCCCTCCTTATGGAGGGTGTCAATGATGGTTTTCTGCACAACTGTCAGGTCAGCAGTCTTTCCCATGATTGTGATTCCTACTGAACCAGACTGAGAGACCTTTTAAAGGCTCAGGAACCCTTTGCAGGTGTTATGGCTTAATTAGCTGATTAGAGTGGGACACTTTGAACCTAAAATACTGCACCTTTTCACAATATTCTAATTTTCTGAGATTGTGGATTTGGGGTTTTCATGAGCTGTAAACCATAATCATCACAATTATGACAAATCACGGCTTGAACTATCTTGCTTTGCATGTAAAGAGTCTATCTCATATATTAGTTTCACCTTTTAAGTTGCATTATTGAAATAAATGAACTTTTGCACATATTCTAATTTTTCGAGTTTCACCTGTATACAATTATTCATTGTAGCATGTTCTTTAATGTGAAGAAGGCAGAAAATAAAATAACTTCAATTCAGATACTTGTCCTTTTTGCTAAAACAACAGAAGCATTGCTTGTATGTCTGCAGTTTATTCATTCTTCCATAAATTATTCTACTGTTTTACCAAAACTGGGATTTTATGATGTCTACATGGGAACTTGAAGATTTCCACCTATTGCTAAACTGCTAGCCAGGTTCTTCTTTTTCCAGATGTCTAACAATATTAATTTTTTCCTTCACTGTGTGGGGCTGCTGATGGATCTGAGGCCTGTTCTCACTTCCACCTGGGACCAGCCCACAGGTTCCCAATCCCAATATTACATAATGTTCATTTCCCGTTAATGTTTGTGACTTGATCACATGAGAGATTCTAGTTCGTCCTTTATAGCAGGAATGGGCGGCTGCATGTACTTTCCCCAGCATCCTGAGATATATTACTAAAATGGTTACCAAAATTGCCAATTTTCAACAACATTTGTTTCAATTTTTTCCTTAAGGATAAAGATAAAAATGGAAGAAAGGAAATTCTCCCTAAACTCATCCAAAATTGTGTTCCTTAAATTCAGCCATTTACTGTCATATTTAAGCAATAGGATTTTAGGGTGAGGGTCAGGGATTCAGGATAGAAATAACGTATAGGTTGAATATTTGGCTCCGCCCCTTCCTCTGATGACATCTTCAGCTGGTAGGAAAAGCAAGATGGGGCCTACAATCCTGAGAAAGATGTTTACCCTGGCTTTAGGAAAAGGGAGGACAATAGCATATGCTTATGACAATTAGACAATTAGAATTTTAGCAGATACAGCTTTTCCCAGGAGATATAACAGAAGAAACCTGGAGTTTACTCAATGGCTACTCTGCATTTGAGAAGAGAAGATAGCTTCCCAGAGGACCTTAAAAAGAAAACATTGCCACCTACTTCTACTCATTCAACAATGCCCCCTCTAGCCACAGCAAAAGACTGCTGAAGTGGGATTTGATTCAGTCTTCTTGCTGTAAAACAAATCCATTAAAGCAAACTTTCAAACAAACAGGCAAAACCTCGTTGGCCACAGCAGATTCAATTATTGCAGGACAAGGTAGCAGTTAACATTGCGCTGGAAGAGGCAAAACAGCAGATCTATTTTCCTTTGATCTTTCACGGATTTTACTTGGAGTTCAGACCAGGTATTTTTCCCACTGCCTCAGCCCTATTGGGGGGAGGGGGATAAAGTTGGTGTTCTCAGTGTGGGCTTCATAGGTTCTTTGAAACACCGGACTACTTTGGGAAGTTGCTTTTTTATTGTCTCAATCAGTAAGAACTTAACACTTCCTTAACTTGTCTTTTGTGTTCATCTAATCTTTGCTGTTTAACCTTTGACATCTCCATTATTATCCATGTCTGCCACCTTTCCTAAATATAAGCAAAAGGCTCCAAGCCCTGGGGTAACATTCTTCTTTAGCAGGCAAAGTTAGCCCTGACTGGTTGGTCTTTGTGTGCATTTACAGCAAGACTTGGAAAATAAAGGGTTTGTGGTTTGTGTAGCACTAGTTCAACCAGTTAAACCCTCAACAAAACTAACTTACCGTAATTGAAAAGGATTGCTCAAAGGTTTGACATCCTGTTCATTATGGGGCACCAAACATACATCAATTGTGGAGCATAATTCATAAAGTAAGAATTCCAGCCCCCAAAGGAACCAAATGGCAGTCATGTTTCATGGGAGGAAAGCATATTGGCCTTTCATCTTAAATTAAATTGAAAATAGCAGAAGATGGATCATTTAAGTGCCTAATAAATATGAGTGTAGACACCATGCATAGTCAAGGTGATCAAAACTAAACTAACATTCAAACTGTTAACATAGCCTATCTAACTCTTATCCTTATGAGCGATGATTTGTTTAGTACATATCCCAGAGTTTGGGAAGCCCATTTTTGTGCCTTTAAGTCAGGGTTAATTCCTGATGACTAGATTAGTTTTCTTGGCAAGATTTTTGGAAATGATTGCCACTGTTCTCTTCCTTCCTCTCTTTTCTAAGAAAAATGTTTGATGCTTGCTTCCTCTAGATTTTAGTATATGGCTGCATTTGAAATGCATATACTTCTGGTCAAATTAATAGTGACATATGTTCAGGCAGATTTTTAAATATAACTCAGTTTATGTATTTATATATTTTACTATATTAAAAATAATTCTAAGTGGAATCTTGCAGACTTGAATGAAGGATACTCAGCTTCTAACTCTTGGAACAATCCTGAAATTTCTTTCATGTAAAAACATAATTTTGTATTCTTTATCTTCCACTAATGAAGAAATAAAGTGTCTTTATTTTCATGTCCACATTACTTTCAGATACTACAAGAAATTCACTATTCCTGATTTGGACAGATTCCAACTGTTTTTGGACAGCACAGCTTTGAGTTTTACTCATGCCAATAATACATTGATCATCACAGTAAGTTCTCATAACGCTAATCTGACATCATTAGCATATTACTGTTTTCAGTCCTCTTTTGTGCTGGCGCCTTTACAGATAGTCTTCAACTTGCAACCATTCATTTAATGACTTCTCAAAATTACAATGGTACTGAAAGAAGTGACTTACGACTGGGTTTCACACTTACAACGGTTGGAATATCCCCAAGGTCACATGATCAGAATTCAGGAGTTTGACAATTGGCATGTATTTATGACAGCTGCACTGTCCCGAGGTCATGTGATCACCATTTGTAACCTTCCCAGCTAGCTTCCAACAAGCAAAGTCAATGGGAAAAGGCTAATTCACTTAACATCTGTAGTGATTTGCTTAACAACTATGGCAGAAAAGGTCATAAGATGGGACACAACTCATTTAACAACTGACTTGCTTTGGAAATGGAAATTTTGGGTTCCATTGTGGTCGTAAATTAAGGACCAACTGTATAAAACCTGAGCTATACACATGGGGGAAACTAACCTTTGGATGAAAGTTAAGAATTAAAAATTATACCAGTAAGGCTTATAATAGAAAAAAATAAATTCATGCTACTATTTCTGCTTCAAAGTCTGAAATAATTGACATTTTTAATGATGTTCTGTGCAGAAATAACATTCTTCAAAGAACATGGAGGTATCCAATGAACAACTGGAAAAGTTCAAGTGCACTCTCTGCCATGGGATATTTCACTCTGCAGCAGGATAAATGGGATAAAAAATACAATAAGGCAGATTTCAATATTTGAACTAAAAATGTGTATTACATATTATGTTTGAGATACAGCCTTATGTTCTAGGTTTTATATCTTAAATGGCTGAAAAAGATGAATCTAAAAGCCTGACATCTCAATGATTTTGCTTCTTGTTTTCAATTTTGCAAATTAACTTTGTTAATAGCACTTCTGTTTTTGCTAACAGAGATTCATGCTATTTTCTTTCCAATAGTATCAAAAGCCAACAGAAATACTAGCTGCAGAAGAGGAGCTGCAAAAAGAACTAAAGAAGATCAAAGCTGCTAATAATGGGGAAGGAGACTGCAAGACACAGTAGTCAAAAGTTTTGAGGTGCATTGTCTGTATTTTTATTAAATAATTGTTCTGAACAGGGATCATACATTCATTTCATTTATACCATGCCACGATTCTACAGAACTCTTTGCAGATTACAAACATTAAAATCTGCAATTGAATAGTATATAAAAACGTAAAACAAAACCAACTGGAAAATGCAAAAATCCAAAAAATGCCTTAAGGAAGGAATATATCAGAGTCTCTTTAAGGCTCCCATCAGCACCTATTCTGGTAAGGAGGCATTGGTAATCTTCTAGATCCAGGGAATAAGGGCCACCCACCTGAACTATCTTCAGTATGCCATGTGGCAGTGGCAACCATGCTTTCCAAGCTGCACTATTACCAGTTTGTTTCTAGGTGCAGTTGAATATGCTTGGAGGGACTATGGTGTTGACCCAGCTGATTCAATCCAGCAAAGTTATTGTACTACATGTTCCTTTCATCAACCAATGGGGGCCTTCATTAACCATATTGGAACCTCAGGATCATGTCTTTTGCCATGGCACCTGCATTCCAGAATGTGGTTCCTCTTGAGACCCAGAGGGCTTGCATCCTGATGGCATTCTGACAGGCCTTAATGACTTGGCTGTGCTCCCAGGCTTTGGACTGTGCTGATTGGATCCCTCTGCTAGGTGTATGATACATATTGTTGACCAGAGGTTCTACATTGTTTATTGCTATGTCTCTTTTTGCATTACATGTTTGTTGTATTGTTTTATTGTTGAGCAGCCCAGAATCAATTGGAATCTACACTGATATAAATAAATGGCTGAAGCAGCTGTGAGGGACAGAGGTCCAGACCATAGATAACAGAGGGCATCTTAGAGAGCATATAAAGAATCCCAGTTAACCTGGCAAGATATTCCAATCAAATTGCTAGACAATACCAAAGCACAGTCAAGAGAATCTAAACAAACCTATGGCAAAATGCTATGCTCACTGGTCACCACAGTCACTCTTGCAACTGGCTCCTTCTCCAAAGGAAATTAACCATTCTGCAAAGAGCTTCTGGATAACAACATGCCAATGCAACAAGAGAGAAGTAGGAATGCTTTATTCTCTTATAACTGTGGTGCAGGTCTGGGTACATAATTGTGCTCAATTTCATTCTTAATACTCCACCTACTCTCTGGGCACTGCTGCCTCAACCTCCGCTGACACTTCAAAACCCATCAGCCACCAAGGATAGGCCCAACAGCAGCTGCTTAGAAGCAGTTTCACTAAGGGCCCATGAAAGCTTGTTGCCTATGTTGAGAGCAGCAAAACAGACACTTGGTAGACTCACACATCACATCTTTGGGAAAATCAAGTACCCACCACCATATTATGGCCCAACATAGCCAAGATGTAGCAGCTACACTTCCATTCCACACAATTTGCTTACCTCATGAAGAGTTGGTATGAGCCCAACTCCCAAACTAAAACTTCACCTGTTCACCAATCTACCCATGGAGTCAAGTCAAGTCAGCAGCCTGGCAAACCACTTGGCCAAACCCCTAATCACTTAGTTCACTTAAACTTAGTGACCACTTTGTTTAAACCAATATCGTTGATTCCAACTGTGGTTGCTAAATGAGGACTATCTAATCTATTATACCTATATGAGAAGTAAATGTAGTACACAGACTTTCTCCCACTGTCTTGGGTACTATCTCTTTATCTCTCCGATCCTTCCCCTTACTGGGAGTCAGTATGTATTAATTCCTCTTGGCTCTCACCTGAGGGACATTCTACCCATTCTAGTTACTGAAGAATAAATTTCACACATACACTGCAGTAGCATATTACCAGCAAGTGCATCCAAAACATTGATAGCAAAGGAGTCCGCCAGGAAACTACAATCCCCACCTTAGACCTAGCAAAACTGCACTACTCTTAGATGTGATGCCAAGGCCCCTTGCCCAACTGCCAGCAACTTGAATGGCACATATTCTGTTTTCTGCCAGCTGATCACTTTTAGGCACCACAGTGGTTGCTTTAGGTAAATAATCCGAGCCCTAAAATCCCCACCTTCTGCCAGTTCACTGAAGCCCTTCAATATGGCCGCTTAGTGGAGACGTGCTACCTGGAAATCCCTAAGTCAATCTTGGTGCCACCTCCTAATATCTGCTTTTAAAGTTTGTTTACACAATTACATAGCCACTTTTTACACCATAGTATCTGACTTGTCTTACATTTTTATTATTTATACTGAGGCCCTTCTAGGTTCATCTGTTACAACATACCAGAATTTGAGTCATGGACAGTGATAAGCCTTTCCAAATATTTTGTTTTAAAATAGATTTTCATGATATAGTCCTTGTTTCCCAATCCTTCATGTATGGAAGAATATTCGGAGCTTATATTCCAGTGTGTTCATCTCTCATTCTACTAAAAAAGAATCCCTTTGTCTCAATTACACTGATTTATATATCAGACATTAATAAAAGAAAGAATTTTTGTGTTTCAGACATTTTTTCATTCAATTCTACAAAAGAACACAGTTCTGTCTTACACAGACTTCACCATTTAACAATTTAATAATTGCAATTAGAATAAAAAGTAAGATGTGGAGGCATTCCTGTTGGCTGTTTTGGTCAGCCAATATCTATTCCATTCACATATTTTCATCCTGGCTTCTTATTTTAAGTGTGTCTGCAAACTTTTGAGTTCCCTAATAATTTCATGTTTGATTATGTTCTTACCTTAAACAGAATACCCTATTTAACCTCATGTACAAAAAGGGGGATGCATTTTTCAGAAACACTGTAGGGTTTACAGAACAGTCTTTAGAAAAAAACAAGTATTAGTAGTATTCATGGTATACCATTTATAAATACAGGTGTTTGATGCAGTGGTGAAATTAAAAAAAAAATTACTACAGGTTCTGTGGGTGTGGCTTGGTGGCAGTGTCCTGTGACTGAGTGGATGTGGTCAATTTGATGTCACTATGGCCATACCCACTCAGTCACATGTTCCCACCACCACCAAGCCACGCCCACAGAATCTGGTAGGAAAAAATGTGTGTATGAGTCCATTCACAGCCTTTTTTGCATTTAATGTTGAATTCTGTGGCAGAGACAATCCGAATGTTTCTCCCTCCAAGCAGAACTGCCACAGCCTGTCCCTTTAAGAAAGTCCTCAGGAGGGAGGGAGCTGGGGGGGGGGCATAAAGGGAACAGCAACTCCTTTGTGAATGGAGGGAGAAACATTCGGATTGTCTCTGCCACGAATTCAACGTTGAATTCTGTGGCACAGACAATCCAAACATTTCTCCCTCCATTCACAGCAGAGCTGCTGCTCCCTTTGTGCCCGCCCCAGCTCCCTCCCTCCTTGGGTCTACCTTAAAGGGACAGGCTGCAGCAGCTCAGCTCAGCTGTGAATGGGCAGAGAAATGTTCTGATTGGGTGGGCGGGTTGAGCAGCCGGAAGGGTCAGGTGAGTGGCGACAGAGTGACCAGGTGGGCATGGGCGTGACCAACAGGGATTTTTGCCACCAGTTCGGAGATATCAATCGTCCCTGCCAGTTTGGCCAAACCGGGCCAAACCAGGAGGATTTCACCCCTGGTTTGATGAGAACGATGACTGAGGCCAGGACACCACCCCATGTTTTTGTATCTTCTCTCAGAATTATGCATGGCTAGATGTTTTTTCAAGTATTAAGTTAAAAAATCTTCCTTTATCTTCACAATTGTGATAATTTTTCCAGAATATTTATTCTCGGCTTGCTGTGTATGTCATAGATAAGTAAAGTCAATCATGGTACTGAATAAAAGGCATCAAGTCAAATGTACTGTGACTATTCAATTACTTTTTGAAATCAAAGATACTTTTTGTATGGTACTTTAATAATTTATTCAATACCCAGCCTATCAATATTGATCCAATAAAGCAGTTCTTATATGGTGCCAAACAATAATATTTATACTTGATTTAATTTACAGAGAGCCAACCAAGATTGCAATCTTATAGCCCAATATTTATTCATGAAAAAGTTTGGATGTCAGTAAAGCAGAAATGAAGTATTTTCTTCTACTTCACTGTCCAGTTATAGTTGCTTTCTCTTCAATTAAATTATCATAAGGAAATATATGAACACGGAACTTTCAGAAGCCCAAACTATGCTGGTAACAAAGAATATGCACATCCTAAGACTTACTGTGCTTTGCCTTTCTAGGAATAAGAAAAGTAACCAAATCAAAAGTGTACAAAATATTCACTGGAAAGATACATTAGATTTTACTGACACCAGAAGGCAGAAATGGAATCTTCTTTACCAACTGCTGTTTTATTGTCTCAAAGATGTTACACTTCCTTTGTACTCCCTGAGTTGACTGTCTGAAGTCCAAGCATATCAGTGTCAAGAGGTAGTGAAATCAAGGACATACAATGCCGATGCCAGTGTCGCATAGAGATGAGTGGTGCTGAAACGTAGACAATATACAGGACTGCTGATAGGTGATGACAAGGAGAAACTCTGCAAAAGCAGTAAGAAAAATATTTCTAGGTAAGCTATCTAAACTTTTAATAGTGTCAGTGACAAAATGACAATCAGGTAGCATCTTCACAATTCAATTTTGTAAACCTGCATCTACTGCAAAGTCCAAGAACCGAGGTGGCGCAGTGGTTAGAGTGCAGTACTGCAGGCCACTTCAGCTGACTGCTATCTGCAGTTCAGCGGTTCTAATCTCACTTGCTCAGGGTTGACTCAGCCTTCCATCCTTCCGAGGTGGGTGAAATGAGGACCCAGACTGTGGGGGCGATATGCTGACTCTGTAAACCGCTTAGAGAGGGCTGAAAGCCCTATGAAGCGGTATATAAGTCTAACTGCTATTGTTACTGCTATTGCTATTTTGTAACCTTTTTCTACTGCAAAGAAGTATTAGAACTGTTGTCTTAGTATAAGACAACAGACAATATAGTAGTAATCTATTTCCTGGACGAAATTAGCTCAAAGCAATAGCAATCATAACTATAAACATCCTTACTAATATTTCTGGTGCTACATTGAGTAGGAATACACTTTTTATAGAAAGTCTTCAACAATACTATTTGTTCTGCAACTGTTCAAAGTTAGGATGGTGGTGATCAGTTGTGGCTATCACTGATTCTCAGAGTTTTATCCCTCCTAGCACCCCTGCAGTCATGTGATCATGATTTTGGCACTGGGCAACTGGCTCACATGATTGGCTACAGCACCTGCAACCATAGAAACACCATTTGCAACCTTCACTGGTAGCTTCTCTAGAAAATCAGTGGGGATTTTCTAGAGAAAGTTGCAAGAGGCTGGAGTAAATTTCTCCTATCCATGCACCTCCTTCAGTCCTTTTGGGCTTGTGCTGCACTCCTTCTCTAAGCTTACTGCCTCAAGCACCTCTGTAGACCCTTCCCAGCCCACCCACCCCCGGCATAATCTCATGCAGTCTCCCTGAGCCTTAGCAAACCTCCCTTGCCCCCTCACACACCCTTCCCAAGTCTCCCAAATCCCCTTCAACCTTTGTGCACTCTCCCTGAGCCTCACTGCACCTTCTTCACACCCTCATATGCCCTACCCAAGCTTTGCTGCACCCCTCACACCCTTGGGCAACCTTGCCATGACTAACCTGCCTGCCTGACAGCCTGCTTGCAAGCCACTTGTGACTTCCAATGTCTTGCCAACTTCATCACTGCCTTGGTTGTGGGAAGCCAGTAGGAAAGTAACTCACTTAATAACCATGGGATTCATTTAATGATGGCAGCTGACACTGCAGGGATTGCTATTGCTAATCAATGGAATTTGTATTTGTATTTATTATAATTGCAGTTTATGACTTCATTGTTTAGCAATGGGAATTCCAGCTGCACTTGCAAGTTAGGTCTACTTGTTAATATCCAAATCCACATTCATGGGTTTCATTATTCATGCCAGTGAATGCTTAACTCACATCTTCTCTTCCCAAATCTACCATTCTATCCATCATGTTTATTTGAAAAGCATTAGGAATAAGCAAAAGAACACACTATCCCACTTAGACTCTGTTGGGCAGTTCTCTTCATAATCAACTTTTGGGAACATGGTGATGATGCCTCACCTGCAAGCATCTTGTTTGTCGTTTGTCCCACAGACGTACCACTCCATAATAAGAGGAGCCACTTGCAATCATATGATTTCCATTGCTTCTAATGCAATATAGGGCACTGTCGTGTGGCTCTTCCCATTTCTTCACACATTCCCTAGGAAATTGATGGTAAAACAAAATACTGTGAGATAATGTTAGAATATTTTTCTCTAAACACTGTGTGTCAGTTCTTCTGTCAAGGGCCAGCGGTTAAGGCTAGAAACAGGGAGACTGAATTCCAGACCCACCTTAATCACAAAACAGTTGGGTAACTAAGCCCTGCATTCTCTCTTATCGCTAGGAAGGGGGCAATGGGAAAATACTTTTAAAAATGTCAAGGAAACTATAGGGGTTTGACCCAGGCAGGTAACAAGAATCTATTTTGACTTAAAGGTAACAAACAAATAAACACATTCTTGTGACTAATGTGGACTGTTAAGTCATCTTGAAACAGCTATCAAATAAGTATTTCCATATATTTAAAGTAAGGCTCCAAACTAACTTTGTGCTTGTTCTTAAATCCCAGTATCTTATGTAGGTATCATATCCACAAGAGAGCAAAGTTGAAGGTGTTTCATAGAAAACATCCAAGACTCCAGCTCCTCGGTGGAAATCTGTTCCAAGACAGGTGATCAGCTGCCCACTGAGGAGAGAAACAAAACAAAAATTAAACTCCATTGCTTACTAACTATGTATCATGGCTATTATCCCAAGTTTTTATCTTCACATAGATTTTTAGTAGCAGTAAAGAAGTAGAGTAAGTTTGGATTATGAAAAAAATATCACTAGTTGTACAAAAATATATCAGGTTAAACTAATATTATCAATTTTCAGTTTAAAATGATAAAAGCCATTTCTTAGTTCTGTTTCTAGCACTATTCAGGGTTTAAGCATCCTTTATGAAGATCAAGCACAAGTACTATTTATATAGTTACGTTGATTTGTTAAATTCAGAAAATTCAGTAGATAGATAATCAAGGGAAAGTATTATTTATTGTAACCAATAGTCCAATGTGTGAGAAGCACAATTATTTTGGATATTTATGTTATGTTCCCAGTTCTCTGATGCCACATCTACCCATGCCATTATGCTGTCTCTGGACTAGGTAGCACATTGAATGGCATGCTGTGCAGCAGAAACAGAAAATAATATTTACTAAGGATAATAATTTCCCACAAATAATGGCTCATTTAACAAATTTCCCTGATAGATTGAAGGTATAGTTATTTGCTGCATAAAATCTAACACATGCTGGAAACATCTAGATTCTCCAAGACTTCTATCTATTTTTATTCTTGTGTTAATAGTCTTCAGAACAAGGCATAAATGCAAGCAACTATCCCCTTTTTATCTATCAATACCAACACAAGAAGAAATCAAATTTACTACATATTATGACTAGAAGTCACTGATGATATGTATATTGAGAGTTTAAAACTGAAAAAAAATCTTATTTTAGAGATATATTTTCTTCAATTTTTCTCCTTCACATGCATTTTTAAATATATAAACTCTACTCAAGGTCAGATATATAGTCTATTAACTCTAAATATCCTATATACTCAGAAAATCTTTTTATTCAGCCTATTTCTTATATGTAGTATTGACAATAGAAATAACAGTATTTGCTGGGGTTTTTTCCTCCCAATTCCCCAAATTGAACATTCCTAAGGAAACTATGCAGACCCTTATAGTACTTGGATTTTGAAAGACCTAAGCAAGCTTCTCCTCCTTATAACCCTGCATAAGTATTGATTTTGGAATGGTTGCAGGAAATAATGCCGGTAACATTGGAAGGAACAAAGTCATCAATAATATTCCCTTCCATTGTCCTCCTGCTTTATATACTAATGGAAAAGATCATTGAGGATTTCTAATAATTTAAAGCTATTTTGGCACAATTCTATAATCACTACTCAAGTTTGCAGAATTTTAGAGCTTTTTTTCTCCACAGAGTTATAGTTGAGTTACAATAGCAATTGGTACCAAGACTGGCATTGCTAAGCAATGCAATGTAAAGTGCAATCACACGACCACATTACTTAGTGATAGCAATCCAGTCAATCCTGATTGTTGTTTATGGGTCATTAAGTAGGAAGCAGTGGGAGTCTCAGGTAAGGAGCACAAGAGTGCTACAAGGAGGTGGGGAGGCCCTGGGAGACATGGCCCAGGCCACATGTGAGATGGGGGAGGAGATGCGCAAGCGTAAGCACAGGGAAGCTGCGGTAGGAGGCACAGGTGTATGTGAGTTTAGGCAGACCCAGGAAGGAAGGTGGAGGATGCATGTGAGCTAACAAAAGCCTAAGGAGGACATAAGGTATCTGTTAGTATAGAGAGGTCTAGGGAACAAGGGTGCCAGTAGATTTGTGTATTGAGCAAAGGTGTGTACGTGCAAGCAAAGAAAGGCCAAGGGGGCAGGGAAGAGTCTTACCCAGCCAACTTGCAACCTTCTCTGCAGGCTTCACCATTGACTTTGATTGTGGGAAGCTGCCAGAGAACATCACAAATGGCAGTCACATAACCAAAGGATGTAAGTGTGAATTAATTGTTAAATGCCCAAATTTTATTCATGTGAACACGGGTACAGCAACGGCCAGAACTTTGGGGATTAGTCATCCCTTCGTTCAGCACTGCAGTAACTACAAGTGGTCGCTGAACAGATCAATGATTACCTGTACAATGAAAAAAAGCATGGTGTTAGTTGCAGAAACTGAAGATTGATTTCAAATGTTTAATCTTAATTTTATTATTACTATCACAGATCACAACAATGTGAAGTCACAGCTGCCAGTTCTTTAGCTGATATTCTTCATACACTCAAGTTCTTTCCTAGATGATGATATTGATGATGATGATTGATGGATGATGATGATGATGATGATGATGATGATGATGATGATGATGATGATGATGATGATGATG